AGAGGAGCGAGCGCCTTGGCAGTTCTGTGATGCCAGGGAGAGGAGGGGTCCTGGGTGGGCCTTCCACTGTGAAGGGAGAGGAGGGGTGAACCAGGAGTCAACTAAATTTCACACTTTTTTTTAACATTAGCTCAAGCCAGCTCGGTAGCTCACTGGGTTGGGGAACCAAGCCCTACTCCTTGGAGCTCAGTCAAGGACAAAGGAATCCTCTCATCTTTACATGACACCCAGCTGGCATCTGAGTAAATTGCCAGACATGCTAAGAAACACAACTAAAGAAAAACCAATAGAAACAGCTCTAGTGTGTTAGTTACCACATGGGAACACTAAAATAACTGTGATCCCAACAAAAGGAACAAAATGAGAAAATGTAGTAAATGGAATACTCTACTTCCAGCAGACACACAGACACACACATAAACAGACACACACATACAGATACACACACACACACAAACACATACACACACACACACACACACCCAGTTTGAGAGCACACTATAGCACCCTAACCTGCAGCAGAAGCAGAGAAGCCCAGCTGGGGGCTGGAGCATACTCCACTTCCAGCACTGAGAAGCTAAAGCAGCAGGACCGTCAAGTTTGAGTCCAGCCTGGGCTACAGAAAGAGACCTCTCAACAGAGAGGAAAGACCAGCAGTGGGGTGGGGACCAAGGAAGAGTTAAAAAGTAAATCTTCATCAATAATGACTGACTAAAGCAGTTATAAGCACAATATGGCTTAAAGTATGAACAGTTCAATTAAATACAAGACACTAGTATGAAAAGTAGGAAGATTATAACATTAAATGTGTCCTAAGGTCTCTGCATTTGCTATCTATGAGGAAGCAGAATTTGCAATTTATATTGTGCACTAATAAACCAAGGGTCCATTATGCACTGATAAACCTCTAGGGTACCAATGAAAGAATAACAAAAGAAAAAGAACAAGCTTATGCAGAGACAAAAGTGGAATAACAAAAAAATCACCTCCGAGACAAGGTTAAAAAAACAACAACATTAAATAACATAGAACACCAGATATAAAAAACAAAAACTAAAACTCTTCAATTTTATCAGTAATTCACTAAATGAAAACAGAATGAATATACCATTATATGAAGATAAGAGACCAGGTTATAAAGCATACAGTTATATTATGCACACAAATTCACATCCTAAGTAAGAACACAGAAGAGCTGAGACTCAGGACTATGTCTGTGCTGCTGATGGAGGGGTGAGGTGGCTGTGCCAACTAGGAAGAACACTTCCATTAAGAGCCTGAACTAGACACTTCATGGCCACTGAAATGGCACAACTCAAAAGTGCTAATGTACCTATGATACAACCTGAAAACATATAAAGCACTGAGCAGCTCCAGCATAAGTCCTGTTGATTATTAATTGCATTAGAAACAATTCAATTTTCTAAGGTCTGGGCTCTACATATGAAAACAGCTGAAAAATAGATAATCACGCTTCTGAACGTCTCTCATTAGAGCACACACGTACCTTTGAAGTGTTAGTGATTGTTATATGTTTTAAAACATACAACTACCACTTCCTCTCCATAAAAGTCATGATCACCATTATAGGGAAAAACTTTTTTTCCTTTGATACTTTTTCTTTTGTTTTTTTGTTTGTTTGTTTGTTTTTTTAGCACTAAGGTCCATTGGACCCAAATTAGTGTATTTCACATTGCTAATTTTATTTGTTTATGTTTAGTTGTTATTTCTTTACCAAGCCTCACCTATTCTATGCCAAGTCCTAGTCTAAAACTTATCAACATGTCCAAATAACTCTATGAGGGGGTCCCTGCAGGTGTCATCCAGGGAAGCAAACATCACAAAGAGTTAAGAATGAAAACCTGGTGCAGATTGACTTCGTCAATCTGGACCAGATGTTGGAGAATCTAATGTCAGGCAGTTCATTGTCAGAATGTTTAAAACACAGCACAATTTGGAAAGAGGTTTCCAGGCAACATCAGTCCAATCAGTCCAATTCTAGGTACACAATAAAGCATACAATCTGTGTGTGTGATGTGTATGTTTGCAAATATGCATGCAGGTGTGTGTCACAAGCCTTCCTCTACTGCTCTCCACTGTAGTTTTGAGACAGAGGTGCAAGCTCACTGACAGAGCTGGGCTGGATGACTAGACAAGCCTCCTCTCTCTGTGGCCCATGCTGGGATTATGGGCGCACGCTGTCAAGCCTGGTTTTTATGTGAGTGCTGGGGATCTGAACTCAGGACTCAGCCTTGCATAGAAAGCACTTTACCAACTGAGAATCTCCCCAGCCTGGGTTTTTAATGATCATTTTAATAGATTTTTCTGCATACTTTTATAACTAGTATGTTACCTCACAAATGTATTGATTCTTCCAACATCCAGCAGCTCCCTCAAATAATCTTTTCTGTGTCTTCTACCCTTACCACAAAGCAGCTCCAACACTTTCCACCAGAACTTGTAACTGAAACTTTAACCTAAGGACTCATCAACAGACCATAATCAGCCAGGAAACAGAAACACTGCCAGGCACTGACATCACAAGAATTGTTTTCCCAAGAGGCATTGGAAAGGAAAGGAAGGCAGAACAAGGGAGATCAAATATGCAGAGGGTCAGAAGTAAGGATGGCAATGCCGAATCTCACTGTTACTTAAGTGAGCTAGAAATTTTAAAACAAGGTTATGTCTATGCTGCAGATTAGATTCAAAGGTAATTCTGAGGGTATTTGGATTGTCTGTGGATGCACACATGTATATATGGGTACCCGGGTGTATAATTACCTGAATACAGAGACTGGCCTAAGAGAACTTAAGAACAGGGATGGCAAAGAAGCAATAAATAAAACTAGCACTACACATTGATATAAATACTACTTTAATCCACAAATCATCAGATCAGCCTGGAAACAGTGGCTAATTCTAACCTCAGGAAAAACTATGCACAAAGATAGGCCTGAGGTCCCCTGCTCCAGAGGAGAAAAGGGCCAAGGAACAACATGAACACGCATAAACATACAAAAGTGCTGTGAGGGGGAACAGGGCGATTCTGAGCACCAAGACAAACTAATGGTAGTTGTAATTAAAGTGAACTAAATTTTAAATTATAAGCCCGACACACAATACATCTAAAAATGAATAAATTAAAAGTTTGATGAGAAAGAAGACATGGGCATAGTTGTAAAGTAATTCCAATGAAAATAATTCTTAATTACTCACAGGGAAAAGCTACATTTGCAATGGGAAACTTCAGCAAACCATCTTAACAGGTGACCAGAGGGATGGTTCCGAGCAAAGGGAGAAAGCTAAATTACACAACACACCAGGATGCCACAAGAAGAAGTCAGTGTCTGCGACACTCTTGCCTACTATGTATGGCCTAAGTACAGCATGAGATGGAGGCGAATTCAGACTGAGGACCTGCAAACCACAGAAGCATTAGGGTACAAAAGCAAGGGGGAAAAGTCAAAAGTTTGGGCAAAACTAATCTGAGACAGAGAGAGAAGAATGGTAGAGAGAAGAAAGAAGTAGCTGAGTTTTAACAGAAGAAAAAGGGTGAAAATACACTGCAAAATCAGCCCATCTCAATGCAGACTGCTACAGAAAACACCCCATCTCAACTGCAGACTGTTGGATGTTTTTATACACATAGTGGTAAGAATCAGATATGCTCCACCTGTTCTTATGCTACATTCTCTCAAGAGAGTCTGATACAGTATGAACTCCACATGATACAAAATCAAAAACAACAACAAAAAAAAAGTTATACTGAAATACATTTTGAAATGTTAAATGTATGATATGGCAGTACTTATCAGTATAATTCTTCTGAACAGACACTTTTCAAAATATATATTTCTTCCTTTTGAAAGAATGAGTCTGTTGGAGGGAAGGGAAAATGGTGATCATCTGTGTAGATCACTAATAACCAAAGCTGGTCCTTGGAACTATCTGAGGGGAGCATCCTCCTTCCATGGACAGTGGTAACAGTGTGAGTTCAAGTAAGTGTCTGACTTCAGGGAAAGCTGACCACTCTTCACGTTTTTTATTAGCACTGTGTGTGGGCATGCATGAAAACTGAGGAGGAGTCAGGACTCTGTGTCCACCTTACCTGGGCTCTGGGAACTGAACTCAGGTCATCAGGCTTGCATGGCAAATGCTTTACCCACAGAGTCATCCCACCTGCCCAAGAATACCATGGTCAACTCTGCATTTGCTTCCACTGTGGTTTAGCCAGTACTTTAAAGAACAATGGCTGCAGTGATCACTGTCTAATTACCACATCCACAAAGAGCCCAGTTCCTGTCTCACTTCATTTGAAACTGCTGTGCTGATTCACATAATAACAGTGCACTGACAAGCTAACACAGTGACAACTGGTACCCAGTAACAGAAGTCATCAAGGTTCTAGAGAACGGGACTATCCTTACCCCCAACACACACCACAGAACAGAAGGCTGAAGTCTGACACTATGACTAAGAATATTAACACTCAACTGTCTACACTTATAGATGGTTCAAATGTCATGTACAATGAATTTTAAAAGAAAATATTATTTTAAGAAACATTTGACAGAAATGAATTGTCAAATGTGTGCTTAATTCAGCTGTTTCCAACATATAATCAGGTTACCAAACAGCCATCTGACATGTGTAAACATCAATAAAACGAAATCTTTTGAAATATAAAACATGACTCCAAGTCTTAATTTAGATATGATCTAAATGCAGTATTTCTCCACTGCTTGTTTTTGAGTTAAAAGTGAAGTGTTACAGTAATAAAAGCAACATTCAAAACAGAAGGCTCTTTCATTGCATTCTTATTCAAACATTAACAATAAAAGAATCAATCATTATAGTTAGAAACAAGTATTAGACATGTAACTCTAACCATATTAACTGTAAATGTGCTCTTGACTATCAAGATGGCCATGCTCGACCAACAACTATTCATATGAGGTCTTACTAGCAGATAACACATAGGGAAAAAAAGAATGGCCTACCTAGTTACTTTACAGCTTGATTCAATTAAGTCATTTTCAAAGTCAAGCATGTTGGAGGGCAGATTATATTCCAATGGAGAAGTCAGTCTTTTCAAACGCAATAAACCAACACAAAATTTTGCTCCCATTTCTTCCAATTCTCGAGTCCCAATCTGTAAACCCTAGAAATAAACACACAGACTCTCAGAACCTTTGTTCTCCTTTGGCTGCAACTCATTCCAGTCATATCCAAAGAAATTTTAACTACATTGCTGTGGAAGTAGGACATTACACTGTGAAGTTGTAGGGATATGAAATTATTCTAGATCATAAAGGAAACTGTTCTAAAGTACGGCACCTTATTGTTTTCTTTGGTGTTGTTTGAGAGACAGGGTCTTGCCATGTGCCCCAAATTTGCCTCTTCCTTCCCCTACCCCCCAACCCCACATACTAGGATTACTGGATTGCTACAGTATCTGGCTCTAAAGGAACATCCTAAAACATAGACTCAGTTCTGGCTTCTGAGGGACTGTCAACCCTGAACTTTGTAATGAAACACCCACTCCCACTGACCATGATGACAATCTGAGGTAACAGAATAAATGAACAGGGAATTTCTGACTAACATTGCTCTTGCTCATGTGTGAAGCTGTATTCCAACAAAGTCTTCCTAACACTCCTTGTGAGCCATGGCTCTGACTGTCAAAGCATTATGCACTTCTGTGTTGTTCGCCAGTTGTTATAATAAAACCCAGAGCCTGGTACTGGGGTGAAAGCTGAAAGACCAAAGAAGCAGAGCAAGTCACAGCCACCACCTCTGACCTCACCGACTCCTCAGCCTGAAAGAGCTCCAGCCGAAAGGGCTTCTAGCTGAAAAGGACACTACTGCTGAAAAGCCTTTGTTCCTGTCTCCTCGCGCCTTATATACCTTTCTCCGCCCTGCCATATTACTTCCTGGGATTAAAGGGGTGTGTGCTTCCCACGCAAAGACATGAGATCTCAAGTGTTGGGATTAAAGGTGTGTGCCACCACTGTCTGGCTCTGTTTTTCTCCTAGACTGAGTCAATCTCATGGAGTCCAGGGTGACTTGAACTCACAGAGATCCATGTGGATCTCTGCATCCTGAATGCTAGGATTAAAGGTGTGTGCCACCACTGCCTGGCTCTATGTTAATCTAGTGGCTTGTTCTGTCCTCTGATCTTCAGCCAAAGTTTATTAGGGTACACAATATATCACCACACTTCTGAACATTACCTTATAGATACTTGTACAGTGTCTAAGTTGGTAAAAAGAAATGAAAGTACCTAAGTAAGAGAGAATGAATTCAACAAAAGTAGTAAATCATTTCCTATGTTCCATGTCAAGTGAGAGTGCCTATTTCAATTTTTCAACTCCATCAAAAAGAAAATTACACATGGTTCCCATCACCTTCTTTAACTGCTTCCCAAGCATAAGGTTATCAAACATTAAATGTCACCATATAAAACCACAAATATTGATTGCAAACTATATTGCTTATCATTTATTTTCCAGATACAAAATGAACCTCCAGCATGACTGAAGGCCTTACAGCATTGAAAGCTGCAGGTGTGGGTGAGAGCAGACCCTAGCAAGGATGAACTGTAAGCTGACTCTTCAGTAAGCAGCCACAGGAACCCACTGCGTGTGGAGAGCAGGCACAGCTAGCAGAGAAGCACATTCGTTACCAGTGAGCCATCTGTCCTCCTGACCCACACATCAGACATTTTAAAAACCTAGCTTAGGAAAAAACATTTCTCCCCATAGGATTTTAAACCAATGAGAATTCTATTAACTAAATCACATAAAAAAGAGAAATGGAAACTTACTTGGTATTCAATTTGTTTTTTAAAAGTTTACATGTTTATACATTGAAAAGCAAATGGGTCTGGTGGAATGACTCATCCAGTAAAGGCATTTGCCACCAGCTGACCACCTAAGTTCAATTACTAAGACCTACTTGGTAGTAGAAGAAAACTAACTCCCAGATTGTCCTCTGGCCTCCACATGACTCACACACTCATACACACACACACACACACACACACACACTCACAACCATGTACATACATGCACAAAAAGTCACACACTCAAAAAATCTAAATATAACTAGTTACTAATGTACTTATTTTAAATTCATAAAAAATACTTAATACTGAATCCACTAAATTGCTGGTAATTTTTTATGATAATGTGGTTTTTGTATAGCTCCTTATGAATTACTAATTAAATGTATGATCCATTGTGCCAATGTGCTTTCCTTAAAATTATGGATATGAATAGAGTTAAATAACTAAAATTTCTTAAAGATTCCTAAGCAAGTGATTTAGTTTACAGAAACTAAAAGCAACAAAAAGCAGGGTCAGGAAGACGGTTCAGTGGGTAAAAGTGAGTTATCTTCAAGCACAAAGACCTGAGTTCAAATCCCACCAAAGCTGTGTGCCTGGGGCAGGTGAGAGGAGCAGGTGAGGTGGGCTCTAGGAACTCACTGGCTGGCCAGCCAAGGGCAAGTTTCTAGTGCTTGAATGGGAAGGTTTGTGTGCTTGTCAGTGAGATCCTGTGTCAGCAGAATAAAGTGGATAGTAATAGAGCAGCAGTTCTCAACCTGGGGGTCGAAGAACCCTTTCACAGGGTTCGCTTAAGACCATTGGAGAACACAGAGATTTACAATACAATTCGTAACAGTAGCCACATTACAATTATGAAGTAGCAATGAATAATTTACGGTTGGGGGTCACCACAACATGAAGAACTGTGTTAAAGGGCCTCACCAATAGGAAGGTTGAGAACCACTGAGTTAGAGGAAGACATCCCACATCTTCTTCTGGCATCCATGCATATACACACCCACATACATGCACCCCTTACTCTCACCCAGAAACTCACTGTCAAAACTGTGCCACTCGATCCCATTACTCAATTTACACATCTAGCTCCGTAAGACAAACGTACATTGAACAAATACTTGAAAAGCATGAGAGCATATATGAAGGGAAGCATCAATTCTTTACATCTAAACACCTGTGGCAGGAGAGCTAGCTCTGTGGTTGAGAGTGCTTACTGCTCTTGCAGAGGACCAGTGCTCAGTCCCCAGTACTCACATGGCACAGCTGACACTGCCTGGAACTTCAGCTCCAGAGTCTCTGGCATGGCACTCATGAGCACATGCCCACACAGACACAAAAGTTTAAATACAGGTACACATCTTCAACTGCTTACCTTGTATCTCCCCTGATCGCAGCCACATAGAGTGCTCTCCATGGTATAGCTCCTTTGAACTCCTATTTCCCGCCACACTACAACCCGAGCTGTGGACTCTTTGGATTTTTCCACCACAAAACTACAGCTGCTCATGCAGAATGCTGGAGCAATGTGGCTCAGTATCTTAGGCAGAGTCTGTAAAAATAAAATTGTAACCCAGAGGTTATACTTCAAACGCTGGCTTGTTCTTAAGTATCTGTGCCCCTCCCCCTCACTCAGCCTTAACTTTCCTGCTGTTCCCAATGGTTTCCTGCTGTTCCAGTGAGGAAACACATTTATGGTAGCGAGCAATGTACAAAGTATACATTTAAAAGCATTGACAACAAACACAGTTAAAAATATACAGAAAGGGACTTGAGAGATGGCGTTACAGTCAAGAGCACTTGCTGCTTGTGCAGAGGACTTGAGTTCAGTTCCTAAAACCCACAATGGTTATTGTCTGTAACTGAAGCTCCAGGGGATCTGACACTCTCTTTTGGCTCCTCTGGGCACCCACATGTATGTGTGAAAACTCGCACACAGACACACACACACACAGACATGCACAAGTAAGTATTAAGTAAATAAAATATGAAAAAAATGCTTAAAATTTAAAAACAAAATCGCCCAGAAAAGGTCAACTGATTTTTTGTTTTGTTTTGGTTTTGGTTTTGGTTTTCGATACAGGGTTTCTCTGTGTAGCTTTGGAGCCTGTCCTGGATCTCGCTCTGTACACCAGGCTGGCCTCGAACTCACAGAGATCTGCCTGCCTCTGCCTCCCAAGTGCTGGGACTAAAGACATGTGCCACCACTGCCTGGGTTAACTGATTTAACACTAAAAGTCAATAACCTCAAGACTTAAAAAAAAAAAAAAAAAAAAAAAGCCCAACCAATGAAATCATAATCTAAGCAGTATCAATACTTTTTTAAACTTAAAATTATTCTCAAGTTCACCTGAAAATGTAAACATGTGAGCAAACTCTGAAAAATCATCACAGACCAAAAAAAATGGCTATGTCTGAAGAAACAATCTCACACATGTCACTGTGGCCAGTATGTCTAAAGTAATCCAGATGGGGATAGTAATGCAGGAAATACACTGAGGGTTCAGAAACAAAATCAAAAGCATTAATGTTACTACTAAAAAGAACTAATCATCACAAACATTGGCTCAGCTGTTGTCAGTGAGAATGACCTGAAGTCACTCTTCATCAATTAAATTAAACATGGAAGCAACTTTAAAAAGTCAATGGGCTGAGGATGTGGTTTAGGAGTCTAGCACCTGTTCAGCATGCAGAAGCCCCTGAATTCTAAGCCCAGTGCCATCATAAAAAAATAAAGGAAAAAAAAAGCAATACCAGTTTTAAATTACTATACCCCAGAAAAAAAATTAGAAAATGTTTGTAGTACATATAAAGCATTCTTATTTTTAAAATAGTAATAATTAGATGAATATTACAAAAGCTAGAAATGTAAGAAAGGTGTATTCCCAAACGATAGTGTAATGTGCAAACATGAAAGCCTCAACCTCACTTCCAGCTGTCACTACGTAAATTAAAATAACCAGGCACTGTTTTCCCATCTCTGAGTTCCACTGATACAGTTCTTCAGTGTGGCCTAATCTAACAGAACTCTGAACCATCTAAAGGCTGTGCCTGTTCAATGCTGACGCATTAAACAATGCGGATTCTGCAGCTCTCCTTCACAGTGTTGTAGGCTCTGCTTCTCTTGGACTAATTTCCTTGTGCTGCCTTTATTTTCAGAATACTTAATCCTGAGAACCTTCCGGTGGCTGGAGATGGCTCAGCAGCTAAGAGCACTTGTTCTTTCAGGGAACCTGGGTTCAGTTCCCAGCACCCACATGGCAGGTCACAATTGTCTGTAACTCAGTTTCAGTGTTTCTGATGCCTTCTTCCAGCCTCTGAAAGCACTGCACACGTATGATGCAGACACATATGCAGGCAAAACACCCACACATAAAATCAATCTTTTAAAAATATTTTTTAAAAGCTTATTGCCTAGTAGCTTCGTGGAAATGGTTGTTTATGAGGCAGATATTGGTTACCTTCAGTGTCTAAGACAGTCCTACTTCACTTTCATACTTATTGATAGTTAGGAGGGAAGATACATTTTGATATGCAATGGTTTTTAGAATGATCATAAAACTCATAGCAATTTCTCATGAAAAAATTAGTAATTTCCTATAGGCAATCAATGATCTACTGAGAGGTGGCAGATATGTGAGGGAAAAGTTCTTAATTCCAACTGCAATTAGATCCAGAAGTATTTGGGGATAAAACTAATAAAATATCATATCTATGTAGAGAAATTTTATTAAGAAAATAAAGACTCAATCAAATAGACAAGCAATGTTCATAGACACAAATGCTCTTAAGTAATTTTCTCAAACTTAATTTAGATTCAACACTATTCTGATTCAAATCTCAAAGTTAATCTACAAATGAATATCTTAGAATTCACAAGGAATAAACAGACAACAACAAATAAAGAAACAAAAAAAACCCACAAACAACAAAAAACCCAGCCAACAAAGGTTTTAAAGGAATAAGAAAACTTGTCAGAATTCAGCATTACTAAAATAATGAGGCATACAGACAAAGAAACTGGAATGCCTGCAATGACTGAGATCCTTCTAGCACACACAAGCACAGAATATACATGTATCAACACTACTGTTTTGTAAATAAATTGTGCTGACACAACTGATATCCATGGACAAAATAAGATTGCACCTTATGGTAGTCTGAATGTAATTGGCCCCCATAATATCACAGGAAGTGGCACTATTAGGAGGTGTGGCTTTGTTGTAGTGGGTATGGCCTTGTTGGAGGAAGTGTGTCACTGTAGGAGAGGGCTTTGAGGTTACCTATGCTCAGTGTCTCAGTTGATTTCCTGTTGCCTACAAGATGTAAGATTCTCAGCTACCTCTCCAGTACCATATCTGCCTGCATGACACCATGCTCCCCACCATGATGATAAATTAAATGTTTTCCTTTATAAGAGTTGCCATGATTATGGTGTCTCTTCACAGCAATAAAAACCCTAACTAAGACACATCTCCATACTAAATACAAAAATAAATTCCCAATGGATAGCAAAGATCAATATGAAAGCAAACCTAAAAACAAAAAAACTTTAAAACCAAAGTAGTAAGATGCAAACATCAAATCTGATCAATTCATGTGTACTGAATTTTCTTATAGCTTACATGCATTTGAAATTCAAATATTCATGAACTGTCAGTAATAATTACCCTGTATCCCATGTCTTCCACAACATCACAGGAAGCTGCATTGTCATGGGTATGCCACACTGTCTCTTTGATGCTGCAGCCATACATAAACACATTCTTTTTCCGAGAATGGCCATGGTAATCACAATACACCTTAAAAAGATCATATGTTTTAACAATTAAAGCCTTACCCTTGACTGTAAGCTCTGGCTTTATACAGTTTCATTCCATGTACAAAATTATTTTTCCTAGAAACAGTTTTAGGGTTATTGCGTTCGGAGTTGTAAAAAAATGCTTTATTATGATTTTTACTTTAGTAACTTTAGGATGAATTAAAACTAAACTGTTGCCAAACTAAAACTTTTAATCTTCAGACTCATATATTGCCAAATAAATGCAGATAACACCAAGCCACTCAATAGCTCTGTCTTCTTTGGTCTTTTAATTTAGAAAAAAATCATCATTTAATTAGAAATAAATCCAGCTTTGTTAAAGATTTATAATTAATGTTTGAATTGCTAAATCCTTAAAGATCTCACATCAAACTGAAAATTCCACTATTTCTTCTTTATCTCCTACTCAACACTTTTTTTTTTTTTTTTTTTTGGTTTTTCGAGAAAAGGTCTCTCTGTGTAACAGCCCTGGCTATCCAGGAATCTATCACCACTTATCTAATTTAAAAGAACATGAAAATGCTTTCATGAGAAAAAATTCACAAAACTTTTAAAGTCTTAAGAGGATCATTTCTAAAATGAAAAAAATAACATGTTAATTTTTCTCTTTCCCAATGCAAGATTAGTTAATTTAGACACTGTTTTAAAGAAAGGAACACTGTAGCCAGACCTGGTGATACATGCATTTAATCCCAGCACTCAGGAGGCAGAGGGAGGCCAGCCTGGTCTACAGAGTGAGTTCCAGGACAGCCAGAGCTACAGAAAGAAACCCTGTCCCCCCCCTCCCCTAAAAAAAGAAAGAAAAGAAACATTGCAATCAAAAGCTGGTGGCTGGTGAGGACAGACCCGGGCACGAGGCCCAAGGCAGCCTCACCATGCCCTGCTGTGTTTGCAGGTGTACCCTGAGGCACATGTTTCACAGCTACAGTCAGGAACATACATGTACTGCCATGAAATCTGGAAGTTGTACACTGTTACCTTTGTGCTGGTCATACAACAAGTTAATGTCTAAAGCACATGAGTCACCATTACTAATATTCATAAAGAGAAAGTAAAAGGTTTACACAAATTATAAACAAGAATAAATTATTGACACTATAATCATTATAAAGATAACAGAAAAAAGATTTTGAAATTAACACCCAGCTTTTATAATCAGAAAATAACATATAAAGTACTAAGTCACAGAATTCTAGAAAGTTGTGACTAGAGGCTACCTATCTGTGAGCCCAGGAGAGACAGAAACTGCAGCCCAAAGAGAAGGCTCTGCAAATCTACATAGTAAGTGAGAGAAAGGGTTCTGGAAAAAAGCAGAACGGGGAAAAAAATGAGAAGCAGCAAGAGGAACACAGCAGAACAACAGTCCCTAGTGGCTGAGGTGTAGAAGAGGCTTCCAAATGAAAACCTGGCAGTCCTGCCCTCAGGATAAGCCCATGGGCCTCAAGGCTCAAATACAGTCATGGGTTTTGGTGAGATGGTAATTCCTTTGGCAAATGAGTCCCTAGTGGCTAGAAATCCCATTTTATCACAATATGAGATTCATAGGGTAGCAGCCAACAGCCATCCTGAGGTGCCACCTTGAGTCCAAACATGATTTTAAAATGGAGCTCCCCTTGGACCTGAGACCAGCCACCAAGCACAAGTGAGGAAGCAGAGGGCACTGCGGACAGAAGTAGGGCGGGCCTAACAGAAAGAAGGAGACAGGCAGCAGAGTTTGCTAAAAACAGGCTGCCAAGTGCAGAAGGAGAGAAAGCAGCGCCTTCAGTGGTCAGATGTGCATCTTCTCAACTGAGAATAACCAAAGTTTGGTAGTTCTGAGGCCTGCAGGTACAGCCAAGGGTCCGTTGTTCACTGCTATAGAGCTGGAGAAGTCCAGACCATACTTCCAGGCCACAGCACAGGCCTCAGTAGTGTGATGAGTACTCAGTAGGTCTTCAAAGTCTGAACCCAGGCTCTCCGTCTGCATTGACCTCAGTGCTGGAACTGCTTCACACACTCCCAAGGCATTTAGGAGACACTCCTGAGCTAAAACATTAGCCATCCAAGAAAATAGGATCTGGAAGCCTTAGGAGGGTGACAGTCTTCTCGCCCATAGGAAGCAAAGCTAAAAATGGCAGCAGAGGCCCCTAGTTTACCAAGAAGGAATGCCCCCCCAGTGAGGACAGCTCTGGAGGACAGTGGACACTTGTCCAATACAGACTCAACAGCAGCATAAACCACAGGAGAGACAAAAATGTGCAGTTCAACTCCCGTTTCTAGGCATACAACTGGCACTCTCCAGTCCTCAAGGGCCCAGACAGAAGCGGCTGCAGCAGCAGGTCTTTTTATTCCTGTGATCTTTCTTTTCTCCTCTTGTAACCCCTGCTCCCTCTATCTACACATGTGACAGGAGGCATTTACTTCTGGGGCTCTTTTCTTCTGCTGTGTGCTGCCTCTTCCACCCTTTCCACAGTCCACAGCACTGACCTCAACATTTTTTTAAAACTCTTGTATTTTTTATTTCCTTCTTACACTTACCTACTTTTGATTTTTAATTTTCTTGTAATTGAGAAGTCTCCTCCCTTTTCCCTTTATCTTTCTAATCTCTTACTATTTTTTAATCTCTGCACCTTTCTTCTCTTTGCTAACCTGTCTCCTTCCATTATCTCATTCATTTACTCTGTCCACACTTATCCTAGATAATCTGTAACTTAGAGAACACATCACATCCATCCTCAGGTTTATGGCATCTCATGTGTTAGTGGGCTGCCACTGACATCAAAAGTGTCACTGGAGCCTGTACCCACCAATGCTACTAAGATGGCAGTAGGCTTTCTTCCTGTTGAGACTGGGGATCGGGGCTTCAAGAGTAAGGTGCTCAATAAAAGGATTCCCCACAAGCCAGAAGACATAGCCAACTCAGCAGATACTCAAAGTGCAATAGAGAAACCCAAGAACAAGAAAATGCTTGGCAACATGACTTCTTGAAAAGATTACAGATCCTCCACTTCTGAGTTCAAAGACACTTGGAATATGTAGAACACGGGGTAAAGATTTCAAGACGCTGGTAAGGGAAACACAGACATAAAAGAGGGCATCGACAAGCAGGCAAGTTCAGTACACTCCCTGGAGAAGAGTGTCAGCTGCACCAAGAGTCAGTCAAACCACTGAGAAAACCAGCATGAGAAAGTCAGCAAAATTTGAGATTTAAGGGAAAAAATGCTATGTTAAAAATGAAAAACTTAGTGACTCAAATAAAAATCACCAAAAACTTGACCAACATAAGAAAGAGTATGGAGACTGGAGGACAAGGCTGACAAAATACTATGTTCAAGCCTCAATAAGGAAAAAATCAGTATGAGCTTTCCACCTCAAACTGTGAGACACGATCAAGAGACCAGTTGAAGCCTCCAGGGACAGAAGGAGCTGACCTAAGACTAAAGGCACAAAGAGTCTTTCCAATGGGATTAGAGCAGGGAATTTCCAAACCTTGAGGAGTCAACATTCAAAAAGCCCATGAACTGTGGACTGGTGGCTGTGGAGCCCCCACGAGACTGGACTAGGCCCTCTGGACATGGAAGATGGTTGTTTGGCTCTACTGTTTGGGAGGCACCCAGGCAGGGGGATCGGGATCTGTCCCTGGTGCATGGGCAGGCTTCTGGGAATCCGGTGCCTGTGGTGTGACACCTTGCACAGCCTTGGTGCAGTGGGAAGGGGCTTGGACCTGCCTAGGCTCAGTGTGCTGGGCTCTGCTGACTCCCCATGGGAGACCTCAATTTGGGGGATGTGGGGATGCGAGGTGGCTTGGGAAAGAGGGCTGGGGGGTGGGAGGAGGGAGGAGAGGGTCTGTGGATAGCATGAGGAGAGAGTAGAAAATTTCTTAATAAAGAAAAATAAAATAAAAATAAGCACACAAAAAAATAAAATAAAATAATTTTTAAAAAATTAAACACTGAAAAATAAAATCACCCACTCAGTAAATGGTATAATAAACCAAAAAGACACTTCTCAAAAGGAGAAATACAAATGGCTAACAAATGCTTGAAAAGGTGTCTGGGGACCCACAAAGTAGAGGGAGAGAACCAATTCCTACAAATTGCCCTGTGACCTCCACTTTGACCTTTGATTCCTGCACTGTGGACAGGAATGCTAACCCTCACACATGGAAAACAAACAAACAAACAAACAAACAAACAAATAAATGTAATTTTTAAAAAAAGTATTTGGCATCCTTAGTCACCAGAGAAATGTAAATTAAAACTTCTCTGAGATTTTTATCTCACGCCAACCAGAGTAGCTATCATTAAAAAAGAAGTAACAAACGCTGACAGGGAAGGAGGGAGGGAAGAAGAACCCCATTCACTGTTTAGAAATATAAGCATCTGCAATAGCTATGGAAATTAGTATGGGCATTCCTCAAAAAACTAAAAACAGAGATACTGTATGATCCAGCCACACTACTCTAAATCAACACTCTTGGATGAGAATTTTAATGCATCTGTAGAAACAGATGCAACTGGAAATCATTACATTAAGTGCAATCAACTAAACACAGAAAAACAAATTCTGGTATACATGGAACCTAGGTTTAACTGTGTGTGTAGAAGTATGATTAATATATATGCACGTATGCAGGTCACAATTTAGAGGGAGATGGAACACAGGTAATAAGAGACAGCAGAAAAGAGGACCCACTGAGGGAAGTACTGTATCTTGCTGAAGGTGGGAAGTGAGGACAGGGAAGGCTTCGGGGAGGGAACAAAGGAGAAGAAGATATAATAACACAGAGGTCTGAAGATGTAGCTTTGCATGCTAATCTAAAAACATAACTTAAAAATAAACTGTCATTAATCAATAAATACATCTGCATGTACAAGGCAAATGAATACAGCCACGTACCAGAGGCAAGCGCTTCACTGCAGCCAGGTACTGGAGCAGTCCCTTTGCATGGTAAATCGTAGGGTGTAAATCTGGGTTTGGACTTTGCCACTGTCTGTTCAAATCCTCTCCACTTAAAGAGCAGCGGTGACTACACACATCAACAAAGACAAGAAATACAAGTGCCACAGACCGTCAATAACTTATTCCAGTAAGTATTCAAGGAAATGCAGATAGCACTCAACTGAACATACATAGTATTCATTAAGTAAGCACACATCCATCATTTGCTATATGTAAAATCTTATGTAACAATGATGATTTCAAATTTAAAATAAGCTTTTTAAGTTACAAAAAAATAAAATTGTCAATTCTAGGATTTTCTTCTGTACTTTATAAAATGTATTAATGGACACATTCTCTATTGATTAACTAGTGATCATTCACTATACTAATTCTATATGCTGAATGCATTAGTTGTCTTGTACAGTGCTGAGCCCTCCCTCTGAGAAAGGCAAATATATGAAAATTATGTAGTCTTTAAACATGTAAATACATTTCCATCTGTTCATAAGAGCTATGTACTAATGTCTTCAAGCACAATACAATCTACAGTTACAATACTAACAAAAGAAACAAAAATGATGTATTAAAGACCCTTCTCATAACTGACATAGCCTCCTAAAACAATTCAAGAAAGATTTTATGAAATTACATCCTCATGGAATCATAACACTAACACACGAATTTAAAAGTTTATCTTTGATGAATTACTCACCAAAACTTGCTTCTAGAAAAAAGCAAATCATCAAATCCATTTTCTGAATTAACTTGAACACTATTAGGTCAACAAATGTATATACAGCCACCATAACAATCTATGACATTCCTGTAATTACTGCTTAACTTACTTTCCATTGATGACACCATCTGGATTTAGCATAGGGACAATTTTAAAAATGTAGGACTCCCGTAAGCTCTGGGCAGTAGGGCTATTACTCATGAGGTACTCCAGTGTTCCTTTCATGACCCAGCTTGCATTAGTTTCTCCAGGATGGACACGAGCAGACAAAAAAATGTAAGGGCGATTTCCTAAAGTGCACATAAAATCTCAATTAAGTGAACAGCTACTAAAAGTTTGAATGACATTTCACTTTGGGGTCCAGAACTCTCCTCAGTTGTGAATTTCAATGTAAACTCAGGGAAACTCACTATGCATACAAAACATACACACTCTCCACAAGGCGCTACAGAGAAGACAACAGAAAATGCAAGCAAACTGTCACATGAAGGAATTTGTACTATGAACATACACAGTGTAATAATGTACAGTGTTGGAACCACTTGCTTATTTTCTAATGATTTATCCAACTTGAAAAAAATACTTCTTGAGTGCAAACAGAGTTTTACAAAGAATATCACCTGGGAAAGTTTAAAATATAAAATTATATTTCATAAACTCATGGAAAAAAGGAAAATATTAACAATCCAAAATCTGAGCCTGGCAGCAGTGGCGCACGCCTTTAATCCCAGCACTCGGGAGGCAGAGCCAGATGGATCTCTGTGAGTTCGAGGCCAGCCTGGTCTACAGAGCGAGATCCAGGACAGGCACCAAAACTACACAGAGAAACCCTGTCTCGAAAAAGCCAAAAACAAGAAAATACTGTGGTTTTTGCTTCAGCATGATTTCTAGACATAAGAACTAAAAACCATGACCATCAAAGGATCCCTGAAAGGGAATCTCAGGTGACTGTCACTTTCCAGAGGAGACAACTGAGGCAGAGGTAGGTCCACGACCAGAAGGAGGCCAAGACTAGAGTCCCAGTCTTCTCATGGCCGCTCTTAGTGTTATAAACTACACAGAAAGCAAATGCAAGTGAGCATGCTTGACACTTGAGTGAGGAGGAGAGACTTACTGAACTGACAGACGTGTTCATAGTAACTGGACTCTGGCATTGCTGTGATGGTCACCAGGGGACAGCTGTTTCCAGACAAGGTTTCACACAGCACATCTTTTCGAAAGTAAATTTGCTGAGGATTGTGTGCTGATTCCAATTTTTGAAGATGCATCTTGACAAAAATTTAAAAGCAAAGTCTATAATCATTTCAAAACTCCCTACTGATAGATAGACAGACAGATAGATAGATAGATAGATAGATAGATAGATAGATAGATAGATATAATTAATGCATCTAGAGATCCACAGAACCAGAAGTAAACCTGACTCCTAAGACTCTTCTTGAAAACCCTCCAGGCCAAATAAACACAAACATTAACCTGTGTGGGACAGGAGAAAGGTGCTGTCTGCTCGATCCACACACAGCACAGCAGCAGGGTTTCCTAAGTGCAATCAATATTCTAAATAATTTCACACAAGCTCAGCTCAGGCTTTGCTGCCAATCTGAGCCGTGAAAAAGCTTTTGGTTTGCAAAGCATTTAGAATGTTGGAATTATAACTGAAGTCACATAATAGCAAGCTAAAAGTACATAACACAATTATGAACAATTACTTCTGATTTCAAGATTAGTTGTATATGTAATAATGAATATGTATGTATGTATATACATATACAATATGCATACATACTCAGTCCAGAAAGCTTTCTAACGTCACCCCTCTGCTGAGACACAGAGGTGACCATTCCACCAACACCCTTGCCATTACAACAGTACTCTGCTGTGAGGATAAATCTACCACAGCTGGCTATCTGCTCACTTGATTGAGCTTGTTGAGTTTTGTTGTACTATGCAAACATTCAGCAATCTCACAGCTTATATCCATATTCTAAGGAACTAGAGGCTCAGATTACAGAAGGAACCTAGTTCTTATGCCAAAAAATTAATTTTCCTACAGAAAAATTCAAAATGTGGCCATACTTTCTCACTGTTACATTTTTCTACAAGATTTAGTGCTTCTAGTTAAGCAAACTAAAACCCATTTAGTCAAAATTTGTTCACAAAAAGTTTGGAGAATCATCAATTTCTATAAATGGTAAGTGAAATGCGTCAATTTTCCTTCCAACTTCTTTTTTAAACTATTTTTCATTTGTGGAAGCATGGGAGTGGGCATGTGTGCACTCACGTGGACACCGTGAAAGCAAAAGCAGCCACGTGCTGTCAAGCATCCACTGCTCCTCTACCTTTACTTTTCATTTTCTTTTCTGAGACAGGGTCTCGAGGCACACACCCAGGATCCAGCAGCTTTTGCCCCCAGTACTGGGGTTTGGGAGCTCACCAGACCATGTCTGTCTGTTCTGTGTGGGAGCTACAGATCCACACTTGGGCCTCCTATCTGTGCTGTGAGCACTTCTCCCTGAGCCATCCCTGGGCTTTCACAGCTACTTCATCATCACATCTCTACCTGTAACATTTGTTCATCCCTGAACCTTCCAGTTCTATTCATTTATTTAACCAGAAGCAACTTATCTCCAATTATCTGATACTTACTCATAATACAAAGTGATATTCGTAAGTTTACAATCAGTATTCTCACCTGCAGAGTTGAATATGTATATGGATAGTGATAGGCAAAATAGCAAACATCATCTTTATGTGGAAAGTTCACAGTGAATGTAATTGTATAGTAGGACTTTCCCTTCTGTCCACCTGCAGCAACTGAACTTCTTGAGAAGTGATTTCTGCAATTAAGAAGCATAAAGCACTTTATTTCCCATGCATAGATGTTCTGATACTCCTTTGTTAATTTTATTAAGTGGAATTTCAAAGAGAAAGAAAAGAAACCCAGTGGATAGCCAGTTTAACTGAACTGCTGCATTCATTAGATACTGTCATGTTTTCTATTTTCTACAAGACACCACAACCAAGGCAACTTACAGAAGAGAGAGTTTATTCGGGGGTTCCAATTTCAGGTTAGAGTCCATCTCGCTATGATCATCATAGCAGGAGCATAGTATCAGGCAGGCAGGCATGGTGCTGAAGCAGCAGCTCAGAGTTAATGCCTGGATCCACAAGCACGAGGCAGAGAAAGTGCACACTGGGGATAGTGTGGGCTTTTGAAACCTCAAAGCCTGCCCCCAGTGATACACCTCCTCCAACAAGGCCACACCTCCTAACCCTTCCCTAACAGTTCCACCAACTAAGGACCAAGTGTTCAAACATATGAGCCTTCGGGGGCCATGCCCCCCAAAACCATCACATGCACACTGAGCAGGCCATGCAGTCTATGCCATCATCTATCAGTACTGCTGTTTTCTTCTCTAGACTGAACATAGCACATGAAGCTCATACCCTCCATGCCAGTGATTCCCTGCTTTTTCTTTAGACTGTATGCCGTTACTAGATTTCGACACTGCTCATCAATGGCAGCCCCTTCCATCAGCTAACAGGCTGAGGACAATGGTCATGGCACACAGCACCAGAACTTCACCACAATTAGTGTTAAGATCACAAAAGGGAAAAAGCCAGAAAGGATGCTGTTTCCTAACACTTCCTAATGTGGTATAAGGGAAATCTGCAGCATCACAGCTGCAGTGCTCTTGCCAAAAATAAACTTGATTAAGCTTTTATATCTAATTGACAATGTACAAGAAATCAGTAAGATACATTTGTTAATAGTAAGGATGCAATCAGCAAGACAAACATAAAACTCTTATAAGAGAAACAAACCAGTTTAACAGAGCACTAAGAGAGAAAAAGGAAGCCTATTGATAAGAAAAAAAATTTGCTGGGCGGTGGTGGCGCACGCCTTTAATCCCAGCACTTGGGAGGCAGAGCCAGGCGGATCTCTGTGAGTTCAAGGCCAGCCTGGGCTACCGAGTGAGTTCCAGGAAAGGCGCAAAGCTACACAGAGAAACCCTGTCTTGAAAAACCAAAAAAAAAAAAAAAAAGAAAAAAGAAACCCTGTCTCTTAAAGCAATAGGCTCAATGTAATATAAAAAATAAGCCACATAAAGATGGCTACCACACAGAGAATCTGGATTATGTTCTCTTTGATATTCGTAACTGAAGAAAAACATTTGATTGCAAAAGCTGTTGAGTTATGCCAAAATGTATATTTTAAAGGTACCTTGACTTCAAAATTTGGATATAAGGATATGTTGCTTTGGAAAAGAGTCTCTGCTTTTGTTTCCACAGAAAGCCAGAGGCTATGAATTTGTTCCAGATTAAGATACATCAGGTTTGACGAGCCAAGACCTCCTGAAAGGTCTCCAATGACACCATGGCTCAGATGATCCAACATCCAGAATGGTTTGAAGGCAACTGGCTCAGACAATACAGCCTCACGGACTACCCCATAAGCCTAAAATTTTCTTTGTGTCCCCATAAGATACAGTGCCCCCCTCCAGCAGGAAGTAGTAAGAGAAGCTATGCCCAAATTCCCAAATTATATGTAATTTTACTATGTTAAGGTAAAAACCTTCCTTTTTGAAAAAAAAGAAAAGGGAAGTGCTGTGGATATCATTCTATATAAATAAAACACTGACTGGCCAGTGGCCAGGCAGGAAGTATAGGCAGGACAAGGAGAGAGGAGAATTCTGGGAAGTGGAAGGCTGAGGGAGACACTGCCAGCCGCCATCATGACAAGCAGCATGTGAAGATGCCGGTAAGCCACGAGCCACGTGGCAAGGTATAGATTTATAGAAATGGATTAGTTTAAGATATAAGAACAGTTAGCAAGAAGCCTGCCACGGTCATACAGTTTGTAAGCAATATAAGTCTCTGTGTTTACTTGGTTGGGTCTGAGTGGCTGTGGGACTGGCGGGTGACAGAGACTTGTCCTGATTGTGGGCCAGGCAGGAAAACTCTAGCTACAGAGAGGAATTTATGCCATCATACAGTAGTTCCATGGAAGTTACAGGCTATAAACAAACATACATACTTGTTGACAGAAGACTACTTTGTTCTATTTATAGCTAACACACCAGTCTCCAGTTCTTACTAAATGCATGCTTCTGGAAACCAACCCCAACAACACATACAACATAAAAAGTAGTTAACCAATGAATGCTAAACTGCACTGAATTCCAGTCTGACCTGGAAGCAGCCAGAGAAAAAGCAAAAATTAAACAAAACAAAAAACTCCTGTTATCATTCCTTATACAGAAGAGAAAAACTCAATCCTGTTATGGTCACACACTTTGCATGTAAAAGGAACTGAAATGTAGAGAAGTGTGTGTGGTGATTATGTGTTCCCCAAAATATTGTACACCCTAATAAATTTATCTGGAAGATCAGAGAAGCAGAACAAGCTACAGCTAACCTCACCTGGCCAACTTCTCAGCCGATCCTGTTTCCTCATATTGGAAACCTCTGAGTCCTCATCCAAATGGATCTCAGCTGAACTGCTGCTAAAAGCCTAAAAGCTTAACTAGGCTCTAGTTCCTGGTCCTCACGCCTTATATACCTTTCTGCCTCATGCCATCATTTCCTGGGTGGGATTAAAGGCTTGTGTCACCATGCCTGGCTGTTTCCAGTGTGACATTGAACTCACAGAGATTCAGACAGATCTCTGCCTTCAGAATGTTAGGATTAAAGGTATGTGTGCGACCATTTTCTGGCCTCTATATCTAGTGGCTGTTCTGTTCTCTGACCCCAGATAAGTTTATTAGGGTGCACAATATATTGGGGAACACAATATCACCACAAGCATGGATGTTTTAATATTTAATAGCCTGAGCAAGTCTTCCAAAACCTTGCCCACCACTACCCAGGTCAGTCCTCTTTCACTCCAACAGTCTAACAGACAAGAAGGTCCAGGAGCACCTTTCTACTGAGTTGTTACTAAAAGCACTACAAGCACTGTGAAGTGGAGATCAGAGTACACATTTCCTTTGTTTCTGCTCCTCCTTTATTTGCTACTTACTTTGATAACAAATAGAGATGGATAGAACCTTACTGAGATGAAGCCTGTTTCTTTCCCCAAAAGTAACAGCATTTAAGACCTAGGTTTTTCCAAAGACATGGAAGAAACTGTTAAATCTCTGTAAATTCTAGATGTCATCATCTTCTGACAAAGCTAAAAAGGATGAGACATCAGTGCTAGTCAAGGACAACATTAAAAGTAAAAATCCAGTCTATGGAAAACTCAAGACTAACAGGACAGAAACCAGCATCCAACACAGATAAAAAACCAAGGTCAAAATTATGAACACAAAACCTTGTGTGACTGATGGGAAATGATCATTAAAAACTAGAATGTTTAATGTTTAGTTTAGACGCAGAGGATTTCAAACCTGAGCACTTCATCTACTGTTTAGCATTTATGTTCTAACAGAAGACCACAGGAAAACTGGAATTTCATGTGGAACAGCCTGTGGGCTCCAATTAAACTGGCTGAGCTATCAGGCTGCTCACAGTCAAGGGTATCCTCTAAGAGTACAAAGATGGTATTCTATCAGTAAAAAAACCAGGAGGGGGCAGAATCCATGCTGTGGAAGTGCAAGTCTGTGCCCCAGTTTGACAGGCCAGACAGAATTATAAGTCAGATACTTACATAGTTTAGTTTAATCTGAAAGTATGTGTGCATTAGTAAAATATTTCTCAAAAGACAGCAGCAAACTGTAATCATGGGTCCTTCTACCAAGGAAAGGTGTGACTTACTTACTAAACAGCCTTTCCAATTGTGAAATAGTAAATCACACCTTCAAGCTTTCCAAACGCAGGAATACACATAAACAACCAAAGTGGTCTCAGGTGTCCTGCACAAGCACATCAAAATCAAGAGGTCATGAGGAAACTGGACTTTGTGATGAATGATGTAAAGAACTTTTGACAACTATAGGAACACAGGAGTCATGTGTTTTTAATGTATTTTATAGGAAATAAAATAAGCATTATAAAAATATAGTGGAGGGTACCTGGAACATTTTACAAATAGAATTAAGAGTAAAATGGGAAGCAAAGACTTTAGGAACTCTGGATAGTTTAGAAGCGAAGCTGCAGTCACAAATAGGACATCTGTATCATACATACCACCTACCCTCCCACACAGGTTCAGGGACCACTTCAGAGAGAAAGAAGAAAAGATTCTAAAATCTAGAGGTCAGGGAGGGCCAGTTTGACTTCTAGATATAAGAGGACTTCTGTGCTCATGAACTCACAGCAGCTGAGGTTGCCTGCACATGACCAAGCCACTCAACATGGTTAACAAGCCTCCACACCGGCCAGGGGAGCAATGAATAGCTGACAGCTTCTAGAGAGAGAGTTGGTTCTCTTTAGAGGTGGCCCCTGGTAGGTCAACCATGCTCCGATGGATGGCCACATACACAGGTATATGGACAGCACACATTGGACTCCATGAGTTATTTTAAAAAGTGGAGGAAGAGGAAAAAGAAGAGGAGGAAAAGGAGGAAGAGACAAAGTGTTAGAGAGACAGGAGTGGAGTTGAGAGGAGTTAGAGGAAGGAGTAGGGGTTGACTAGGATAAAAGAAATACATTGTATGAAATTCCCAAAGAGTTAATAAATATTAGGGTTACCTATTGCTGTTAAAACACCATGACCAAAGCAACTTGGAGAGGAAGGGGTTTATTTGGCTTACACTTCCACATCACTGTTCATCATCAAAGGAAGTCAGGAAGGAACTCAAACAGGACAGAAACCTGGAGGCAGGAGCTGATGCAGAGGCCATGAAGGATGCTGCTTACTGACTTGATCTCCATCACTTGCTCAGCCTGCTTTCTTACAGAACCCAGGACCATCAGCCCAGGGATGGCTCCACCCACAATGGGCTGGGCTCTCCCACATCATCACTAATTAAGAAAATGCACAACAGGCTTTCCTACAGCCCAGTCTTGTGGAGGCATTTTTTCAACTGAGGCTCCCTCTTTTCCAATGACTCTAGCTTGTATCTAGTTGATATAAAACTAGCCACCACACATACTAAGTCTGTTTTCATTGCTACACTGAAACAGAATGGAATATGCCCTTTTATGAACTTCTGTAAGAATACTTACTTGTAGTAACAAATGTCAGTACCCATACGAATCCACCATGGTCTGGCATTTAGAGCTTCCTGAACTGAATACATAAGTGGCTGCATACCTTTGAAAGAAAAGGAAAGAAAATACTATTTTAAGAATTGTTGATATAAAAATGAATCTTGCATTTCTAAAAAGCACCAAAAATTTAGGAAAGCTGAGATATAGTGCATTTAATTATTTTAGGATGTATTAAAGAAATCTGAGAGATTTCTTAAATTATACTTTAAGCAATAATAACCTCCTTTTAAATTTTAAATAAAATGGAATAACTTTAGAGTGAATGGCTACCAATTATTCTGTTAAATTGTATGTATTCAAGCTGGGTGGTGGTGGTGCATGCCTTTAATCCCAGCACTCGGGAGGCAGAGGCAGGCAGATCTCTGTGAGTTCGAGGCCAGCCTGGTCTACAGCTTGAATTCCAGGACAGCCAGGGCTGTTACACAGAGAAACCCTGTCTCGAAAAACCAAAAAAGTAACATAGTCATACATATATAAAGACATTTTAAGAATCTAGGGAGATGGCTCTAAAGGTAAAACTTGTCACCCAAATATGAGGATCTGTGTCCCAGTCCCCAGAACCCATTTAGAAGCTGGATGCAGTAGCACATGTCTGTGATCCAATGCTCTTAGATGATGAGAGGAAGTTCATCCAGCTAGCCTGGCTGAGGCAGCAACCCATAACAAAGAAAAGACCCTGCCTTAAACAAAGGTAAAGACTAGAACCTGAGACCATCCTGACCCCAACACAGGCACCACAGTGTACATGCACATGCACACACACATAGGCATACACAAACACACACACAATGAGCAATCCCTCCTCTAATTCTCCAGAGTCTCATCTGCAGTGAGAAAGGCCAAAAAAAGTTCATGTTTGTTTTCATTCCTTCTCCACATAAGTGTTAACATAGGGTGGTGTCCTGGCTAGTTTGATGTCAATTTGAGACAAGCTAGAGTCATCTGAGAGAAGGGAGCCTGGCACCTAACATCTACAGGAACCTCAACTGACAAAATTCCTACATAAGATCTTAAATAGTGATTGATGAGGTATGGCCCAGCCCACTGTGGGTGGTACCATCCCTGAGCTGGTGGTCCTGGGTTCTATAAGAAAGCAGGTTGAGCAAGCTATGGGGAGCAAGCCAGTAAGCAGCACTCCTCCACAGCCTCTGTATCAGCTCCTGCTTCCAGGACCCTGCCCTATTTGAGTTCCTATCCTGACTTCCTTCAGCAATAAACTGTGATGTGGAAGTGTGAGCTGAATAAACCCTTTCCTCCCCAAGTTGTTTTTTTTGGTCATGGTGTTTCATCACAGCAACAGAAACTCTAACTAAAACAGGTAGGAACTGATAATGAAAATAGAGTTAAATATACAATGTACTTTCCTAGATATTCTGAGAAATTTGCTTTTCACATGAGCTTTAAAGTTGCATTACTTGGCCAGGCATAGTGGTGCACTCCTTTAATTCCAGCGCTGGAGAGACAGAGACATGTGGATATCTGCATTCCAGGCTAGCATAGCCAACACAGTGAGACCTTGCCTCCCCCTTCCCTCCAAATAAAAACCATAAAATCATCTTATTTCATTCCCTAACCTGACACAGTAGACTTTTTAACTGGAATTGAATTAAATTCATGTGTTAATTTTAGAAATACTGACAGCTTTTACTGAGATCTAGTTTGACTTTAAATTCTACTTTCAGTACGTAATGATTTTCCTGGTGTAGGAATATTTCATTAAATATATTTGCATTTTATAAAGTTTTTTTCTTTCCCTTTCTAACTGGCTCTTTCAAAGCTGTTTGTTGCCTAACACACACACCACCCCACAGCTGCTATGCTGCCTCCTGGATCTCCGAGGTGAGTAACCCTATTGTGTGTTCCTTATCCACCTAGCTCCTCATATGGAAGTTACTGTTAATTTCTATTTTCGTTGCCTTTCAGGAAATCAGAACTTCAAACATTGACGGTGAATATACTGCTAAGAATAAACAACTGTTTTCTCATAATTTTAATCAAAATGTTATATACTGATCAGTCCAATATTGGCGAAATTTCTCAAATCAATTCTATCATGCATAATACAAGAGATAGTGAATAATCTCTATGTGCCAGACACTGCTGATTTTAGATATATAAAAACAGTCAGTATTCCCTCCCAGCCACCCGCCCTAGATGGTAAGCACTATTAACTCTGTAACTTGAATAATTTCACAAGGACTATGACTGCACTTAAAATTCAGAATCATTTTACTTAGGGTCTTTCAGTACCCATCGACAGCATGATGAGGCTCCCTCTCACACCACTGATAGGCACACTGTATGCTGGAGACTTCTCACTGTAAACTATCTTAGTTCTGAGAAACTGTTCTTTTAGCATTAACTTGTTAAATTGGCTATTATTTAGAATCCTGCACCTAATTCTTAAGTTTCTTCTTTTCTTAGGTTTATTGTTTTTTAAAATTATGTTTATGTGCATTTGAGTGCAGGTAAGCGTCAGAGGCAGAGGTGTAGGGTTCCCTGGAGCTGAAGTCACAGTCAGTTGTAAGCCACTAGGCACAGATGGTGATGATCCAACTGCAGTCTTCTGCAGTATGCACTCTTAACCACAGGGCCACCTCTCCAGTCTCCGCAGTTGGCTCTTTCAAAAGTAAGTACAGAGATCACACGAGGTTCAGAAGAGTAAGTTTGAACCCATTTGGTTATTTCCATCATTTGCTAAAATAAACAAAAGTATGATTTATTTTACAGGGTTAAAAACCTAATGTGAGCCGGGCGGTGGTGGCGCACGCCTTTAATCCTAGCACTCGGGAGGCAGAGCCAGGCGGATCTCTGTGAGTTCGAGGCCAGCCTGGTCTCCAAAGCGAGTTCCAGGAAAGGCGCAAAGCTACACAGAGAAACCCTGTCTCGAAAAACCAAAAAAAAAAAAAAAAAAACCTAATGTGTTCTTTTCTCTCTTGTTTGTTTGGTTTGGTTTCCTAAAGCTGGTTTAAATTCACTATATAGCTGAAGCTGGCCTTGAACTCCTGATTCTTCTACTTTCCACTTCCCAGGAGCTGAGATGTAGAAATGCACCACTATGCTTAGCTTTCAACTTCTCAGTAGTTTACAGCCTGTTTAAATTTCTACTTTGGGACGCTGGAGAGATGGCTCAGCAGCTGAGAGAACTGACTGCTCTTCTCGAGGACCCGGGTTTGATTCCCAGCACCCACATGGCAGCTCACAACTGTCTGTAACTCCAGTTCCAAGAGATCCAGCACCTTCTTCCAACCAGCAGTACCTGACATGCATGTTGTGCACATACATACATGTAGGCAAGACACCCAAATACATACAATTAAAAACTTTTAAATCTACTTTGGGGGACTGGTTAGATGGCTCAGTGGGAAGGAGAAATTTTACACAAGAAATCAACAAGGAAATGACTAAGGTAAAAAAAAATATCAGCTTTTGGAAATCATGTAACAGTCTTAAATATCTTTTTAAAAAAGAAAAAATTTGAAACTGATGTTAGAAATTATTTAGAACAATCTGTCAAGCATGATAGCTACCAGCCATATGAGGCTATTAGAATTAAATATTTAAAAGTTTGAGTTCTTCTGCAGAACTATAGTCATTGCTAATGCTTAATAAAAGCCCCTTATATAATACACTTCATTTTAGCAATGGACTAGCTGACCCAGACTTGGGGAGAATAACTAGACCAGTATTAACTTGTAAACTGAAGTATTCTTTGAAATAAGAAATCACTGAAAGTAAGTATCCAATGTAAGAAACTGGAGAAGGAAGTAAATCAAAGGGAAGGAAGAGAGTTAATGAAAACAAATTTTGAAATATTTAGATCAAACTAAAGCAAAACATAGAAGTACAATGTTTAGAAAAAAGTAGACCTGTATGTGTGCGTGGTGTGTGTGTGGTATGTGGGTGTGTGTGTGTGTGGTGTGTGGTGTGTGGGTGTGTGTGTGTGTGGTGTGTGGTGTGTGTGTGGTGTGTATGTGTGGTGTGTGTGTGGTGTGTGGGTGTGTGTGTGTGTGTGCGTGGTGTGTGTGTGGTGTGTATGTGTGGTGTGTGTGATGGCTCAGTGGGAAGGAGAACCTTTACACAAGTACGAGAACCTGAGTTCAAATCCCCAGAACACATGTAAAAAGTTGGGTCTGGCTATCTATATGTGTGCCTGTGACTCCAGCACTGAATGGACACAGAGGGCATCCCTGGGACTTACTGTTGGCTAGCCCAGCTCCAGGTTCAGTGAGAATCCTGTCTCAAGGGAAGAAAGCAGAGAATAATAGGGCAGGGTAACCTCTGCACCCACCCACACCACACACACACCCACCACCACCACCACCACCACCACCACCACACACACCCACACACCACACACACACCACACACACACCCCACCACCACCACCACCACCACCACACACACACACACACACACACACACACACCACACACACACCCACACACACACACACACACACACACACACACACACACACCACACACACACCCACCACCACCACCACCACCACCACCACCACCACACACACCCACACACCACACACACCCACACACCCACACACACCCACACACCACACACACACACCCCACCACCACCACCACCACCACCCCCACACACACCCACACACCACACACACACCCCACCACCACCACCACCACCACCACCACACACACCCACACACCACACACACACATACACACCCACCCACTCGTGCACACGTGTGCACACACACTACACACACACACACACACACACACACACACACACCCCACATACAGGTAGCAATGACTATAGTTCTGCAGAAGAACTCAAACTTTTAAATATTTAGTTCTAATAGCCTCATATGGCTGGTAGCTATCATGCTTGACAGATTGTTCTAAATAATTTCTAACATCAGTTTCAAATTTTTTCTTTTTTAAAAAAGATATTTAAGACTGTTACATGATTTCCAAAAGCTGGATATACTTTTTTTACCTTAATCATTTCCTCGTTGATTTCTAACAATAGTTTAAATCACAATAAAATCTGCAGATACCTTCT